TCAGGACCCTAGGTCAAGCAACCTAGAGCAAGATAGATGCAGTGGAAAAAACAATAACTGAAGGAATATATAAAACCAGCATTACACTGTTGTTACGACTGTACAGCAGCACCACCATCTGAACATAATTTGAAATGGTTACTTCATATATCTCTTAGCCTTCATTGCCAGAATATACTTTTGAAAAGCCTTAAAAATGGATGTGCTGCATACCAATCATTTTTAATATCCTTCCAATCCAGGAGGAATTCAAACCAATCACTTGGTTGAATTTAGAATTCTTTCCCCAACTGATTACAGCAGGGAAAAGTAGAGGACAGGACAAAATGGAAATGAAGGAATATAAGCATGTCTCCATCTGTTCTAAGTGCAGCTAGCATATTATTGTAATATGATGGAATACAGTACTCTTAACGACAGCATGATTACTTTGTTAACAATTTCATCTTAAGTGTTTTTATAACTTTGCTTCTGGTTAATTCTAAATGTTCTAAAGTTGTTTTGTAAATCAACTATTTTGGGCCATCTACAGTCATGTGAATCATTTAGAATCATTTAGAATAATAGAGTTGGAAGGGACTTTGGAGGTCTTCTAGTCCAACCCCCTGCTTAGGTAGGAAACTCTATACCACTTCAGACAAATGGTTATCCAATATCTTCTTAAAAACTTCCAGTGTTGGAGCATTCACAACTTCTGAAGGCAAGTTGTTCCACTGATCAATTGTTCTAACTGTCTGGAAATTTCTCCTTAGTTCTAAGTTGCTTCTCTCCTTGATTAGTTTCCACTCATTGCTTCTTGTCCTACCCTCAGGTGTGTTGGCGAATAGCTTGACTCCCTCTTCTTTGTGATATTGGAACACTGTTATCATGTCTCCCTTAGTCCTTCTTTTCATTAAACTAGACATACTCAGTTCCTGCCACCGTTCTTCATGTTTTAGCCTCCAGTCCCCTAAACATCTTTGTTGCTCTTCTCTGCACTCTTTCTAGAGTCTCAACATCTTTTTTACATCGTGGCAACCAAAATATTCTAAGTGTGGCCTTACCAAGGCATTATAAAGTGGTATTAACACTTCACATGATTTTGATTCTATCCCTCTGTTTATACAGCCTAGAACTATGTTGGCTTAGAAATGGTTGTCCATTAGGACTCCAAGATCCCTCTCACAGTTACTACTATTGAGCAAGGTACCATATATACTATACCTGTGCATTTTGTTTTTCTTGCTAAATGTAGAATCTTACTTTTTACATCATTGAATTTCATTTTGTTAGATAGCACCCAATGTTCAAGTCTGTCAAGATCCTTCTGTATCTTAAGCCTATCTTCTGGAGTGTTGGCTATTCCTGCCAAATTTGATGAATTCCCCATCTATCCTCTTGTCCATGTCATTGATGAAGATGTCGATTGATGAAGATGTCGATTGATGAAAAAGTCCACTCTCTTTGAGTTCTACGGTTTTATGTATCAAGACATAGTAAAAATCTTCTATAATTTGCAGTTCTTAAAAGTAGGTAAATTCAACCTCAAGTGACAACAATGCATGGCATATTACACCATGTTATCATTTATTACACCATGTCATCATTTATTTTACAAAAAGCCAAAATGGAAAAGCCATGTATGAAAAACTAAGTATACCCTTATTGCTTTCATAGGTATGAAGAGGCTAGGTAACAGCCAAGTGCTGCTAATCAAGTGCCTTTGATTAATTGATCATCAGTAAGTATGACTACCTCTATAAAAGCTGGAGTTTTAGGAGTTTGCTGGTCTCTAACATTGGGGTGGGTGGGTGTTAACACAATTCCAAAGATGAAAGATATCAGCAGTGAACTTAGAGAAGCAATTGTTGCTGCCCATCTATCTACGAAGGATTATAAGGCCATTTCCAAACAATTTAAAGTCCATACTACAGTGAGGAAGATTATTTACAAGTAGAAAATATTCAAGACACTTTCAATCTTCCCAGGAATAGATGTCCCATCAAATTCACCCCCAAGGGCAGACCATGCAATTCTCAGAGAAATTGCAAAAAATCTTAAGAGTTGCATCTCAGACTCTACAGGCTCAGTTAGCACATTAAATGTTAAATTTTATGACAGTACAATTAGAAAAAGACTGAACAAGTATGGTTTATTTGGAAGGTTTACCAGGAGAAAGTCTTTGCTCTCCAAAATGAACACAGCACAGCTTAGGTTTGCGAAGTTGCATCTGAATAAATCAAAAGACTTGTAGAACATTGTCATTTGGACAGATGAGACACAAGTGGAAATGTTTGACCATATTACACAGTGCCATGTTTGGCAAAACCAAAGAAGCATATCAGTACAAACATACCAACCATGAAGCATAGTGGTGGCAGGGTGATGATTTGAGCTTGCTTTGCAGCTACAGGAGCTGGGCACCTTGCAGGCTTTGAGTCGGCCTAGAATTTCTTTGTATAACAAAGTATTCTAGAGTCAAATGTGAGGCCATCCATCCGACAGCTAAAGCTCAGCTGACATTGGGTTGTGCAACAGGACAATGACCTCAAGCACACCAGCAAGTCTACAACAGAATGGCTGAAAAAGAAAAGAATAAAGGTTATTACAATGGCCCGGGCAAAGTCCAGATCTCAACCTGATTGAGATGTTGTGGCTGAATCTCAAGATAATTGCATAAACAATTGCCCACAAACCTCAATGAAATGAAGCAATGTAAAGAAGAATGGGCCAAAATTCCTCCACAATGACATGAGAGACTGATAAAGTCATACAGAAAATGATTATTTCACCTTATTGCTGCTAAAGGTAAGTTCTACAAGTTATTGAATCATAAGGGGTCACAAGGGCTTTTGATTAGCAGCTCTTGGCTGCTACTTAGTGTTTTCATACCTATGGAAGCAGTAAAGGTGTACTTAGTTTGTCACGCATGGCTTCTCCATTTTGGCTTTCTTTTTGTAATATAAATGATGACATAGTGTAATATGTCATATGTTGTTGTTCATCTGAGGTTGTATTTACCTAATTTTAAGAACTGCTAAGACCAGATGATTTTTACTATGTCCTGATATATAAAACCATAGAACTCAAAGAGGGTGTACTTTCTTTTTCACATGACTGTATCTTTGGGGTGGGTTTTTTTTTTGTAATTAATAAAAGAAACTTTGAGACAAGTTTGGTGTAGTGGTTAAAGCATCAGGCTAAAAACTAGGAGACTGAATTCTAGTCCTGCCACTTAGGCACAAAGTCACTTAAAGTCAGACCTTGGGCTAGTCACTTTCCCTCAGCCATAGGAAGGAGGCAATGGCAAACCATTTTTGAAAAACCTTTGCCAGGAAAACTGCAGGGATTTCTCCAGGCAGCCTCCAAGAATCGGATGCAGTTGAATGGAAGGAAAAAGAAAATGCAAAATGTACTTTTCACTTTTTCTAACAGCTGTTATAAAACAAATTGTTTTGCTTTGAAAATTTAAAAGTTAAAAGAAAGCACTGATAAAACAGTTGTCTCTCAATTAATATATATGCATTTCTTGAGGCTCAGCTATAAAACAGGATTTTGAAAATATCATAGATTTTAAAACTACAAATATGAATTTTACTATGTATTTTCATACTTTAAGTCCATGGCTTGGAAGTGCTATAGTCCTCTTGAACTAAGGGGAATAATGTCTCTTTCAATCCAGTTTATATCAGTGAAATTGATTCAAAGCTAAACTGTCCTTTTCAGTTAAGAATTGGAGTGGGCTCTGAAGATCACAATCATACAACTGAGACCCGCTGGTGGTAAATAGTACTAGGACCAAAGTATACATCCATCTCTCATAACTACACACCTTTTTATTCCCTGGGTTGAGATAGGGAAACAAAGCTGAAGCACCTCTGTCTTTTATTAATGCTAATAAGAGGAAAAAGTTTAATTTTGCCCCTACCATATTGATCAATCTAGTTGATCAATCTAGTGGCCTGTGCATGATGCATTCAACCTGCGAGCCGCCAGTTTGACACCCTTGATCTAGATAAAGTCAAAATTACAGAAGACACCTATATTGATTCCTGGGTAAGTGTGTGTTGGGAAGGACAAATTTGACTCTCATAACAACAAGATTGATATTCACCTTAATGATACAGTAAGAATAATATCTGGAACCCTTAAATCCATACCGCTCTCATGGTTCCATATTCTTTTTAACATTGCCCCTCCTGATCTCAGGTGACAGCAACAGACAGTCCGAGAGTAGTATGAAATAAACATTGACTCCTAGAGATCTTCCAACATATAAAATATTAGACTCTCTACCTCTTACCAGGCTTAAGTCTAGGAAACCAATTTGGGATAACATACCACAGTCTTACAATGTAGATGAAGAATGATGATTAAAAAGAGCGAATTTTACTAACCACAATCAGATAAATCACACAGATCCAAGAAAACCACTTCCAGGAATGCAGTTGCCCCCCAAAATATGGAGCTACCTGAATGGAATCATGACAGGACGTGCCAGAACTAAGGCAAAGCTCTTTAAGTGGGGAATGGCCAAGAACCCTCAATGTGACTGGTGATTTTTCTTCACAGTTTTGGCATAAAAATCATTTTGCTATGGCATTAAATACTTTTCCCCACGAATGACTATTAAAAGATCCCTTGTCAGAGCAAGGATCTCCCGCTCAGAATTAGAATTTCTTCTTCATTAATAATCCCACTAAAACTCCTTTTTTACAACCCTTTATTCCTTAATTCGGGGTACAGCAACATTATTATTTTCCACCTCAGAAATAAAACATTGGGCTGGGGGTTGGGATTGCTCTATCCTCTCAATAAATATTCCTGAAGAAACTCATTGTTTTCCTAAAACATGTATACTTGACCATTGAAAACAACTTTTCAACCTGGAAAAATAGCTGAATCTCCCTGGAGTATTCAAGACCCGGTTATGAGCTGCTGGTTTTTCATTAATGGAATAAATATGATTGACACAGTATGAATTTCTGTATTTTTTATCTTTATTTCTTTTTAAAAACTAGATTGCAAAAAGCTATGAATAACAATGACTGATGCACAGTTATTTTCTTCCTGTTCCAAGGAAAACTGTAAAAAAACAGAAGGTATTTGTTTTATTTTTTTTATATTTATATAACTTGGCATTTCCTAAAACATGTTTACTGTAAAAAGTTTCTTTTGATACATTTGTATACTCTCCATATTTTTCTTTTGGATTTGTCTTTTGAGATCATTATTTTTAATTCTGCTTCCCTGTTTATTGACTTTTTCTATAATCTCTGCCTGGCAATAAAAAAAAACCCATTAACTAAATGGATTCCTCCATACCAAACTGCGAAAATCAAGGAATCTTTCAGAAGGGACAAATTAGAAATTGCATTTTGTGAACAGATGTAGTTAATACATTGATCAGCAAATGAATGATATTGACATTATTCCCTAGTTAATTTAGCACCATTGCTTGCATTAACCTGGCAATTATAATTTTGTCTTTTAATTAGTGACCAATTTTGGGATGAATATGCTTAACTAGCATATATGATAATAGCCTTTACAATCTGGGTACCCTTTGGATGTGTGGACTTCACAGAATTTGTTAGTCAGTCTGATCACTGCTAACTATTCCCTAACCCCACCCTCAAGTTGGGGAAAGCTAGTATTCATCATTTATGAATATGCACATTTAGATTGGAAACCGGATTTGGGGAGGAAAGTTTTTATTGTCTTGTATGTCATAGCTTAATTCAAATCCTAAACTTCAATTGCTTTTAGCTATAGAAGGTAGTTCCTTGGTAGAGATGGGCGACATACAAATTTAATACATAAGATAAAAAGGTATTGGACTGTGGAATTAAACTTTTAAAAATATATAAAATAAATATTGTTAAGAGCTTACGGCTAAAATCCTTCATGGGGCAATTTCTATGAAATTAGCCATGGGATAAATGGGGTTGTGTATTTAAGGGAGAAAAATCTATATTGACTTTATTCATACATATTAAGTCAACTTAGTTTGTTAAACAATAGTAATAATAAACAGTTTTACACATAATGCTAAACCGTAATGAGTGAGTTTGCACATCACTGAAACCAAAAAAGTGGCTGTAGTTTAGCATTATGAATAAACAATACAAGCAGAATCTGTAAATGTAGAGCCATCTAATCTGACCTGTAGATGTCACAATTGTATTCAATAATGAACAATGTTTAAGTATAATTATTCTGGGTTTTTTTTTAGATATAAATGAAAATATTTCAATAGCCATTCCCAACAAACAACGTAGTTGTGCTGCTGTAAATACTCCAGCTGCGTGTGTTAATAAAGCCATTAATCAAATACAAGATTTAGAAGTGAAATTGGAAGAATCTTTTCTGCAGGTAATATTTATTTGTATTGTTTTAGTTACTATATCCATTAAAAAAATTGACAGTGGACATCAGAATATATAGAGAAATTAAAATATTTTTTGCAGCAAAATAGGAAAAGGAAGGAATATTAAGTATGTTTACCGCCTTGAATTATTTGCAGAAATAATTAAGGCATGATATAAATAAATGTATCAGAATATGGACATTTCAGGTTTTCCTGGAAGTATTCATAGCTACAGCACTGCTTTCAAAAGCCTAATTTCATCATCATTCTTTGCTGTCAATGAATCACTTAAAGGAGAATGTTCAAAAATAGCCTGACATTTGTAGATATCAGATATCATGGTCTCATGTAAGGCTCTAAAGATAAATATTAATACTTCATAAATTATATGGTCACACAGACTGTATATTGGAGCCCCAATGAGATTATGGCATTTTGGAGGTGGCCAATGGAGTAGATGACATTCCTTATGCACACTTTGCTCTCACCCTTTCCATCTGGGTCAGTTTTATTTGAATTATTTCAATAAATCTTGTTAGGGAAGGCTATGAGAATCTTTACTTCAGTTGACTGGGCTACTAAGAGCTTGATAACTATGACAAAAACAAAATCCAATACAGTGCCCAGCAGATATGTCAGATTATACATCATATACAGCCATGTCTTAAAGGCTTTTCAGAAGGCCAAAAGGTTGGGTGTGAATCTTACCTCAAGGGGGGCATGATGTTCCAGAAGATGGGAGCCACATCAGCAGAGCAATTTTAGTTAAAAGGAAATAATAATGTTTTAAAAGTAGGTGGGGAATAATAAAGAAGGATCCTCCAGCACAGTAAATAGACGTTAGGTATAAAACAATGAAACAGTTTGATAGGACACAATGCAAAGGAATGATTGGAAAGTATTTAAGGAAAGAAAATGTCATGTCAAACGGTAGAAGTGAAAGGAATGTTATAAATGTTAATGTCTAAGAAAAGGATCAATGAAAAGGAACAACATAAATGAACTCTTGAAAAATGGTAAGGTGCAAATGACACAATTGAACAAATTTTAAAATAGGGACATGCTTTACTTATGAAGTAGCTGTGCAATTTTTTAAACGTGTGTAAAGCACTTTTAAAATCTAAATTATTATTATTATTATTATTATTATTATTATTATTATTATTATTAATTCAATTTATATACCACCCTTCTCCTATTGGACTCAGGGCGGTGCACAGCCAAGGATAAAAAACATACCAATACAGAATTTAAAATCAATTAAAAGAATTATACAGCTTTGGCCCACAGTTTAAAACAATCCAATTAAAACCCAATTTACACTTAAAAGCTAAGAAGCTAAAAAGAGCTAAAAAAGAGCTCAAATCAAATGTATCAAAATAATACATTGTTCCCCTCTATAAAGTAAGAGTGAATGCAAATATGGGGAAATTAGGCTAGAGTAAATCTGCATAAATTAGTCCATAATGGGTGGTTGTGTAGCAGTATTCTTATTGAAATAATATGAGATGACTGAACAAATTTAAAACATGGAGTTGCTGATAAGGTAATTGGTTGTATATGATATGAGAAGAGAATGTTTCTGAAAAGAAGCAAAACTGCTTTCAATAACAACGACAGGAAAAATTGAATGATTGTAAGTTATAAATTATGAAGAATTAGATTTAGTAAGTGAATTTGTATATCTTTGGTAGAATTTTTATTAAAAATGAGAAATGAAAAATTTTAGAATGTGCAAATGCCAGTAGAAGACAATGAGTAAACTGCTCTGATGTAAAAACTGAAGGTTTGTCAAAAGAAGTGAAAATGTCTTCGCATAAGAACATGTGCCTTTTTTATATGAAAATGAGAGTCAGATATATGAAGAAAAGTTTAAAAATAAAGTTCAGTGGAAATGAGAATTTTAAGAACTGTTTGTGGTAAACAGTCAAGCTAAAGACTGTTGCAAATGAAATGAATGCATGAATGCAAAGGTGAGTGATAGTACAAAAGAAGTCCATTTTTAAAAAAAAATTAAATCCTATCTATTATTTTTAAGTGCAAACATACCTAATACTATTTCTGTTTTCCCCAAAATAACAGTCCTGCTTTGTGAGTTGGGCTGAGAAGAATGACTAGCCCAAAGTCACTCAGCCAGCTTTCATACCTAAGGCTCACAGTATCCTGGTTTCTAACTTGGTGCCTAAACTACTAGACCACAATTTGATAATAGAAATGATGAATTAAGTTTGAATTGCAAAACAAATATATGAAAGGAACTTAGAAGGTCAGCTTTTATTTTTTTTCTGTTCCTTAATTTCTGTCATTAATTTTACAAGTACTTAATTTTTTCTTGCACTTTACATAATGTTGCTACCCTGAAAGGGAAAAGTATTATGGTTAGGTATAATGCAGGAAAATCTAAAATCTAAAAAATGAAATGTTTCAATGAAAATCTGATTTATGTTCACAGCATGAAATTTTATATAACTTGGGAAAACTTCCATGGTAAGAAAATTATGTTTTGATTCAATAAGTATTATAAACACTCTTCTAACTAAAATATAAAGAGAAATACTGCCAATTACCATTCTGATGATTTAAACTTAAAATGCTATTACCAGAAAAATTGGGCCAAGTCAGAATCTGATATTAGGACCAAAAAAAATAACCTTGTTCTAATATTGATTTTAATAAAAATTTAATTCATTTCATTATATATATACTATAATACTATTACTAGTTTTTGTGTGCAGGTAGTCCTCAAGTTGATTAATGGCCATTTAAAGTTACAGTCTTTGAAAGGGTGCTTTACGGCCTGTAAAGAACTTTCAGCCATTGTAAAATGTTGTAGCTCCCTCCTCCGCCATGATCATATGACTACATTTCAGGCACTTGGCAGCTGATTCACATTTATGACCAATTGCCAATTACCCGGCGATTATGTGATCGCTATTTGCAATCTTCTCTGCTGGCTTCCTCAGAAAGTTACTAGGGAAGATGGCAGAGAAGATGGTAAGACAGAGGGGAGCTGAAATCCTTCATCAGGCTTCAGGAACAGGGTTGAAATCTTGAGGATTTCGTATCTTTCTCTGCAGCCCATGGAGATTTATTTAGTTATCAAAATTTAGAGATCATCTGTCTGTGAGACAGGTGATCTCTAAATTTTGATAACTAAATAAATGTCACTCTGTGAGACATGCATGGATGGGAGCTGCTTCTTCAGGATTTCAGCTCCATTCCTGCAGCCCATCAAAGATTCCAGGAATCCTGAAGATTTTAGCTCTGTTCATGTAGCCCACTGAAGGATTTCCCCTCCCTGCACAGCTACCTTGGTGTTCTTAAGAATGGAAAAGAAATCCTGAAGATTTTAGCTCAATTCTTGCAGCTCATCAAAGGATTTCATCTCTATGCACTGAGGGAAACTGAATTCTTCAGCAGGTTGCAGGGACATTTTGAGAGCAAAAAGTCCACTTGCCAGGAAGATTTCAGAGGGAGGCAGCTTTTCCTCTGTCCACTTAAAGACCCAGGAGATCATTTAACAACTGCTTTGCTCAATGACCAAGATTCTGGTTCCAGTTGTAATTGTAAGTTGAGGACTACCTGTGTTTAATAATTTTCTTTTTCTAGCACACTGAGAATTAACAGAATAACAGAGTTGGAAGGGACCTTGGAGGTCTAGTCCAAGCCCCTGCTCAGACAGGAAACACTATCATTTCAGACAAATGGTTGTCTAATTTCTTCTTAAAAACCTCCAGTGTCAAGCACCCACAACTTCTGGAGGCAAGTCATTCCACTGATTAATTGTTCTAACTGTCAGAAAATTTATCCTTGGTCCTAGGTTGATTCTCTCTTTGAGTAGTTTCCATCCATTGCTTCTTGTCCTGCCATTAGGCGCTTTGGAGAATAGGCTGCTCCCCTCTTCTTTGTGGCAGCCCCTTAGATATTGGAACACTGCTATCATGTCACCCCTAGTAAACTAGGCATACCCAATTCCTACAACTGCTCTTCAGGGCTGAGACTTCAGGGTGTTTATTCACTGTTATGTATGCCAGATATTACATGTTTTACATTAAAATAAGCAAAAATGTAAGTATATTGCCCATTACTTCTTTGGATTGAGATGAAAATGGAGAATTAGGAAGCTAAACCAATAGCATTTCGAAAGTGATGGAGGGAGAAAATATAGTGGTAACATGCAGTGTAGGAAAGAAGATCCAAGACTATAATGCTGACCTATATTCCCAGGGATTTGGATGCTAAAACTGTCAAAGAAACTGAAGAGATCTGTTTATCATTCTCTACTGAAGTGAAGGCTAAACAGTCATTGCGCTGGAAAGGTAATATTAGTTAAGTATTTAATTGCTTTCTCTTAATATTAATTATGTTTAATTGTAATTATTTCCAGAGAACCATGAAATAATGGGAATGTTTGAGAGCTGCAGTATAATTCCGTTTACAATTTAGATTTTAAAATATTGAAACACTTCCAATAAAATAGTGAAAAAGATTAGCATTCTATGCTGTGTCGAGTCCCATCTATCAAGGAGGCAAAGGAAATTGCAAGGAGAGAAGGAATCATGTCCTCATCATGTCCAGTGAAAGTGGAAGTTGAAATCATTACTTTAGATTCAGATCTATGTATCTACAGTGCTTTTTAAATGTTTACACATTTTTCTACACTTTATTCTGCATATTTTCAGCAGCATTTTACAAATGATTGCAACACACCCTGTTATCTCCTCCAGTCTTTGAAACGACTGAGATGAAAATAAATACTTTAAAAAAACAGAATGTTAAAGCTTGAAATTCTTAAAAGAATATTTTAAAAATTATTTTTAGATCTTTTTTTGTTCTACATAAATTTTAGAATAAACCTTGCATTGAAGATTTACTGCTTTAAGATAGAGATAGTTCACATAAGAATGATTGATGGAATTCACTTCTATTTGTTTGAATTGGAATTAGCAACACTTACATGAATTCAAGACATCTGGAGACAGGCAGTATTTTTCTTAAGAGAAGGGAAGTCTATGTGCAACATTTCTGGAATTACTGGAAAATACCTCCATCCCACCTTCATAGTTTCATATTTAATTTCATATATTTAATTAAACCAGTGGTAGGATTCAAAATTTTACTACTGGTTCTGTGGGCGTGGCTTGGTGGGCGTGGCAGGGGAAGCATACTGTAAAATCTCCATTCCCACCCCACTCCAGGGGAAGGTAACTGCAAAATCCCCATTTCCTCCCAATCAGCTGGGACTCGGGAGGCAGAGAATGGATGGGGGCGGGGCCAATCAGAAGTGGTATTTACCAGTTCTCCAAACTACTCAAAATTTCCGCTACCGGTTCTCCAGAACTGGTCAGAACCTGCTGAATACCACCTCTGAATTAAACCTGTCCAAGTGAATGGCACATTTTGCTATTTTCTATCAATCAGACTGGCTGAAAGAAAGCTGCCAAGCCCTTTCATTCAAATTATGTGATGGTAGAAGTGGGCAATGTTCTCATATGAGCTCATGTTAGTGAAGGTCCTAATCACAGCAATGTTTTACTTTTATTCTGATTAGACTACTGCTAATGACAATTATATTAATTCTGAATATTCAAAGGATTTGGTGTTTTAAGATGTTATTGTTATTACTTCTCATGTAGGATAGCACATGAAAAATCTAAATTGTATATAGATTTACATACACAGTTTGTGTAGGAGTTTTAAACTTTGTGCATTAGTTTTTTAGGACTGTGCTACATAATAACATTAAAATGAAACTTAAATTGTGCATTTTGGCAAATTGTGCTATTACATTCAATAATACTACTTGTTTTTTAATTGAAGATATTCAGTCTTTAAAGCAGAAAACTTCTGCTGTTGTAGCAGAAGTCATCGAGTTAATTTCACGATTAGAAAATGAGCGTAAAGATGCTGAAGAAGCCTTAGAGTTTGAGAAGCAACATAGAAAAAAACTATACCTAAATTCAGATAAACTGTCATTTTGGAGATTACAACAGCTTCCCAAAGCTGTTCAAGAAGGTAAAAGAAATAGCTATGTTTAAAAAAGAGAATTTATTTGTGTGCCATCTTAAAACATCTGAAGAAAAAAAGATACGAGATTCCTTATGTGTTTTTGGGGAGCATTTGAAATAACTGTGATGAAATAATAGTCCAAGGAGATAAGGATAATTATTTCAGCCACTGAATTAAAAAAATCTATGATATCCAAAAGATCAAAGTTCAGTATACTGCTATTATTTGAATTATATGTTTTATTAAATTGTGAGCATGTATATTCATCAGGAAGATATTGTCAATATTCCCTGGTAAATTTGCTTATTGCTTTACAATCAACATCCTGATAACATTCTGAGCTTGGTTGTTTTATTGCAGATGCTTCATTACTAAGTATCATCAGTAGTGCTAGATCATCACCTAGTTTGGTAATGAAACATCTACAAAACAACCACCCAGTATCAGAGAGCACCAAAGACCCCACAGTTCAGCTCTGAACTACAAATAATTTCTTCTGTTGATACTGATAGTATTTTGTACATTATCCTGTCAATATTATAATCTCCAAAAATCTTTAAGGAATATATTTATGTATAAATATGCTCACATATAGTGCGAAAATGTGTACAAGGCTTTGTAGACTTCTTTCCAAGCATTGAGCAAATCTAAAAGAGTTATTGGAATGTGTATATTCTGACCTCAGAAAATATGGGAGCCCAGTTATACACTGTGCTAGATTGGTATGCCAAAGTCCCTAAATAAAAAATGTAATTTAAAAAAAATATTACTGCAAATTCACTCTGAGGTAGTTTGCTAGCATATATACAGTAGTTCCTCGAGCCTTTCATAGATTATTTCATGATTAAAGATATCTCTTTTGCACCCCGCATGAGTTTTATTATATGTAGCAGAATTTTGAAAATACTACTGAAATAAATCCAATTATCATTAAAATATATTATAAATACCCAAATTTTAATTATGGTAAAATTGCATAAGTGAGTATTAAATTTATATGAATATGGTACTAAAGTGACACTTTTGTACAAACCATTTCTTCATAATGCTGTTTTTGCTTCCAAGGAAATTTGAGATGTACACAGTACATTCCTTTCTGTTCATCAACATTAATTGGTCATCATTACTTCATCTACCTCCTTGCTGTTTGTTCAGAAATTCTCTTTTGTTTAAATGTCATATTTAGCAACTTAATATTCTTTATAGTCTATTTGATAACAGTGTATTAATATCCCTCTTGTCAAGTTCATCACAAGTCACAAGCAATGAATGGTTATACTGTGAACAACTGTGCACATTCCCATTTTTAATTAATATGACATTTTGCTTTAGTTATAACTATAGGGGCCATTGACATTTTCTTACGATTAGTTGAAGGGTTGACCACAAAAAAAGCACACTAAGTAAACAACAGTCTAATGGATTTACAAGATTATGCTTCTTTCTTTCTTTTTTTATTTTTAATATTCCTATCCCTACTGTAACACACTCTGCATAGGTAACAACACAATAAACACATAATTCAAAACTAAAATCTGAATACTTACTGAAAAAGTTTCAGATCATCTGTATACTTTTGAATTGTCTATGGTTGAATTGCCATCACTTTTACAATAACCATCTCCCAAGAAAAGAGTTTGGAAATTTGTCAAACAGTATTGAGCATGGCTAGGTCAAAGTAAGACTTCTTCACTAACTCACTAGGAGAATGTTCAAAATTTTATATCTGTGTTAATAATGATATCAGAAAAAAAGTTAACCAATTGAAACAGAAAATAATCAGATCTTTGGCTTCTTATTTATTTGTACTGCTGAAAAAATGTATCATAGAGTACTATGCAATATGGACATTATTCTTCTTTAGAAAATGCAATTACAGCATTGTTTTATAGATGGATAATATAAAATTATCTTTTGAAGAGGAATATACATATATTTTGGAATCTAGCAGCTTGTTACATATTTAAACTTAAAAGCAATAGTTATCATTTTCTTATAAGCAATAGTTTCTTTTATATTTTGCAGAATGGGAGAAATGTTTGCAAGATATAATAGAATTACAGTGGCATTTTGAAGAAAAAAATGAGCAATTACAGGATGCCCTAAACCAACTGACAAAAATAGAGGGAGCCAATTCAGTGATCGTGAAGCAGATAAACTTTATGAAGAAATACAGCCCTCTGCTGGAAGAAAAGCTATGTCATGAAGATGATTCAATGAAAGAAGTAAAAATATTATTTGAGGAGGTAAGGGGGTTCAATATTTTAATTATATTTTATTTTTTGTTTATCCCATGTGCATTTTAATTTCTGTGTCCAGCATAGAATAGAATAGAATTCTTTATTGGCCAAGTGTGATTGGACACACAAGGAATTTGTCTTGGTGTATATGCTCTCAGTGTACATAAAAGAAAATATACATATAATAATGCATATAATAATGGACATATAATAATGTCCAATAATAAGGCTACATATCTAAACATGAAGATATGTGAAAAAATAGCACAGTGCCCATTCTTTTCTTTTGAGAATAAGTATATAATGTCTTATGAAGTCAAAATGCAATTTTATTATACCAGTGTACAGGTTTGATTTTGTCAATGTATTAATATGAAATTAAATATTAAAATAGAAATATAATAGTATTGATTATATCCAATCATGATTTTCTTATAAAAAAATAAACCCCTATAAAAATCAAAATGTTAACAGTAGATTTTATATCTTGATTCTTACCGAGCTTTGACTTTGATATATACCGGTAATGTCTTTCTTATAGAAATTGGAGCCTTTGTTTTACACATGAAATTGTGCTTGTAATTTCTTTTTTAATTAATAGAGTTGTTTTGTTATGTTCTGGTTTTAATTTTCTTTCTGCTGCCCAGAATCACAGTGGTGAGATGGGCAACCACAGCGAAACAAACAAATAAATGATGAGCAGAGGTGGCGCAGTGGTTAGAGTGCAGTACTGCAGCTACTTCAGCTGACTGCTAGTTCAGCAGATCAGCGGATCAAATCTCACCCGTTCAAGGTTGACTCAGCCTTCCATCCTTCCGAGGTGGGTAAAATGAGGACCCAGATTGTTGGGGGCAATATGCTACTTAGTATACTGTCTTTGGTGTAAGCCGCCCAGAGTCCTCGGAGAGTGGGTGGCATAGAAATATGACTAATAAAATAATAAATAAAAAATAAAATAAAAAATAAATGCAAATAGTGATTTAATAAAGGTGAGGATCATTATTAGATTCTCATAGCTAAATTAGAAACCTGGCTATATTAAACCTAAAGGTTGAAGTTCAGTCTGTAATCTGAACCCATGGAATTCTTGAGTTTTGGTATTTTGGAAAAATTCTAGAACAAAATGTTGCTTTGGCTGTATTGTTATTAGTTCCATCCTATTAAAAAACTGTTACTGTTATGAAATGGCTCCATTCAAAGCAAAATAAAACATAATTTAGGACTATGTCTCCTAGCATTAGGTGGGATTTACTTAATTTGGAAAGTACATACTAATTGGATTACCATTTGAATAAGATTGTACTAGTACTTTACTCACATACACAAACATTCTCCCTCCCTCTCTCTTTCTCTCTCACATATGCGCACACACACACACAAAGCTAAAATGATGTTCTTTTAACATCAATATGTTAAAAGAAACATGTAATCTACATAAATATCCATATTTAATGTATGAGAAAAATAAATAGCAAAGATTACATAGGTAAATAAATAAGAAAAAATAGAAAATGTCTAAGATTCTGAGCAGTCATGTCTGTAAGAGAAAAAAGAAATTGATGTACTGGTAATAATACCATCAGTCTCTTTGAAGAGGTTAAAGGGGAACAAATGACAACATGAGCATCTCAATGTCATCACGCAAATGCAACAAATCTGGCAAATGCTATAAGTGATAGTGGTATTTGTTGGACAATGTTATTGCATGAGTGCTGTTTTAGCACTAGTATTGTTTGTTACTATTCGCAAAAAGGTTTGAAAAATATTAATTAAAAGTGTTAAACATTTCTTAATTCTTAAGTTTGATGTTACAGCTATACTCAGATATATTATTTTGGATAGTAGCGATTGGATTATTTATTTGATTTCTTATCTCCAAATCATGATTCCAGAAAAAAAGCATTTGGGGATACAGAAAATAATATAAAAAGAAGTTAGTGCTTACCAGACAAATGCGCTAAGATAATAAATTCACAATATGTTAGTGAAATAAAAATGTGATGTTGGGTAATTTCTTTACAGTAGATTAGCATAAATTAACTCTTTTAAACTCTTTGTACAGATAGTCCTTGACTTATGACCACAATTGAGCCCAAAATTTCTGTTGCTAAGCGAGACATTTGTTAAGTGAATTATGCCTCATTTTGTGACCTTTCCTGACACAGGGCAGTGAATCACTGCAGTTGTTAAGTTAGCAATATGATTGTGAATCTGGCCATTGACACTGTAATCATCATAAAGATGAACCAGCTGCCATGTGTCTGAATTTTGATCACATGACCATGAGGATGCTTCAATGGTCATAAGTGTGAAAAATAGTCACTTTTTTCAGTGCCATTGTAACTTTGAATGGTCTCTAAATGAATTGTTGTAAATTGAGGACAACCTGTATTAGCTTAGTGGATCATAATCTTTATTCTCTATGGCCAAGGGAAATATTCTAGCTTCTTTTTGGAAAAATAGCTGGGTGACTGTATCTGTGTCCACAGTTTCCTAAAGAACCTTATATATACATGTACAATGTTATGTAGATTTAATTAAATGTAACAGCCTTGGTGGCGCAGCAGACTAAAGTGCTGTTAAGTAACACCAGCTGCCTGCAATTACTGCAAGTTCAAATCTCACCAGGCTCAAGGTTGACTCAGTCTTCCATCCTTTCGAGGTAGGTAAAATGAGGACCTGGATTGTGGGGGCAATAAGCTGACTTTGTATAAAAAAGAACACTGCTGGGGGGGGGGGCGAAAACCCTACTAAGCAGATATATACAAAAGTATGAAGGCTATTTTGCTTAACGCATTGTAAGCTGCCCTGAGTCTCTGGAGAAGGGCGGCATATAAATCGAACCAATAAATAAATAAATAAATAAATAATTCATTGTGTTGTACCTTATGATTCTTGATGAACGTATCTTTTCTTTTATTACACAGAGAGCATATGCACCAAGACAAATTCCTTGTGTGTCCAGTTACACTTGGCCAATAAAAAATTCTATTCTATTCTATTCCCTTAACTAAGTTGGTTTATTTTAGGCATGGGCCCAGGGTTCTTGCAGGACCACCTCCTACCAGCCTCCCACCGCCCAGTGCGGTCACATAGAACTGCCCTCCTCCCCGGTGCCATCGGCCAGACAATGTCGGCTGGTGGCCCCCAGGATGAGGGCGTTCTCGGTGGCCACACCGACCCTCTGGAATGAATTACCCACCGGGCTTCGGACGGCCCCCAACCTCCGCGCTTTCCGTGCCAAACTGAAGACATGGCTTTTTCAGCAAATTCCCTGATCTGTTATGAGATTTTAGTTGTTGGGGTTTTTACATTTGGATGTTTTTAGTTTTATTTATTGTTATATGTTTTTTTATTCTGTGAGCTGCCCCGAGTCCTACGGGAGAAGGGCGGCATAGAAATCTAAGAAAATAAATAAATAAATAAATAAATAAATAAATAAATAAATAAATAAATAAATAAATAAATAATAGACGCAGGAATGACAAATGCAGATTTAAAATACTATCTCAATATGGTCCTTGAGTATTGTTATCATAATCCTTATGATACTTTTAGTTTTATGTTGTAAATTAATTTCTGTTTCTTTGAAAGGCAAAAGCTCAGTATGATACTGTTCATCAGAAATATTTGGAAGTGCAAAAGTTGCATGAAGAAACAAAAGAAGAATGTGAAATAAAAAGACTATATATGCGTGAACAAATAGAAGCTGATGAGACTACATTAAACCAACTTAGGTAAGTATATTTTAACTTTTTAAGATAAATTTTTCAGGCAATTTCCATTTATACATAGAAAACCTGAATTCCAATATAACAGATTTTGATTCTTTTTGAAAGCTATGTTGTGTTTAATATAAAATATAAAGAATATTTATATTCTTCTGTTCAATCTTGCCCAATTCTCAGAGACTGCCTGGTCAAGTCCCTGCAAGGTTTTTTAGGCAAAAAATTGTTGGTTTGAGAGAATAGGAGAAATAGTAGAGCTTTTGCTAAAGGGAGGAGAAGAAGTAATTGGTAAGGATTAATTAAGGTATTAATTTAAGCTAATATGTGATACAGGCAAAGCTTGTGGAATTTTCTTGTAGCCAGAAATGAATGAAGAATGGATTCTGGAAGTTTAACAAAGAAAAACACCTATGTGCAGGAGGGAGGGAGGGCATAAGGAAGATGGGCTAGTGGATCTTGTCATGCTGTGTTATTGACAGCAGTTGAAGGGAAAGGAAGGAAGTTAGTCCAGTATGTCAAGTTGGTTGCTACTGAGGGGATGAAGAGAAAGAAGAAGAAATATGTACCAGTCTTGTCCTTCCATCCCTTCCTTCATCTGCCACAGTTGATATCTTTGGCTTTTCCTACCTTTTCCCCTTCTCTGAAAGACCCCTGCATCCTCTTTGTTCAGTGCATAAACCAATACATCTTAAATGTATGTTTAGTTTCAGGCATGGACCAGCCAAAAACAACTGTTTTGTGTACAGTATGTTTTGGGCATTCTTAGTTATTATATAGAAAAAAATGTCTTTTATCAGTGATAGCACTCATAATTTAGGTAATATTTCTAATTACAACAAAACAGTTCTCTGACTTGGGACCATAACTTCTGTGTTTATGAAATATTACAATATTAGTGTTGCACCTAGCAGTTCTCCTTAATTGTATATCATTGGAGATTATTAAATGAAGGAATTTACAATCAGAAATTCCTCACCATACTAAAAATGAAGTTTTGATGAATGTCTGGATTGGATCCTATCTAGGAGCAGAATTCTGCTCATGGAACAGGGCTTTCTTCCTATCCTTTCTTGCTGCAGTTTTTTTTTTCCAATAGCAAAAAAGCCCTAACCCTGTATTTTGTAGGATTCTCTTTAAAGTAAGGAGGAGGAATCACTAAGTATTGGTTACCGACCATTGTATGAAGAGAAGTTAATTTATCTTCCTAGAATATTGGCAGATATTTTAAGATCTGGAAATATTTCTGCCTTCTACCTTTCTATGGCACTTTTAAGAATATAAAAAGTTAGTGAGCAAGCTCAGTGTCTCTGCTGCTTTCCCTGTTCTCTTATTAGCTTCTAATATATAATGTTAAACATTATTATGCTACAAAAATATTTTGTTGGATAGGTTGACTGACGAGCTAAGATTGTAGAAACCTGTAGGCTGTAAATCGTATGGAAATGAATGAAATTTACATGAATGCTAGATATCAGAACTTGAGAAAGTACTGTTGCTACAAATCCTAATGTTATAAAAGATAACTGCAGTTATAAGGAGATTGATGGTACTGCAATTATAACAATAAATGTTTACTTGATCTTTAATTCATTTGGAGAAATAGATAATGTATTCTTGCCACTTTTTAGGGATGAGTTAAAAGAAACTGACATGCTTTATACTGACATCAATAACAAGATACATAGATTGAGGGAGGAAATACTGGAAAATGAAAATCGCCTTGAAGAACTAATCAAGCAAGAAGCAGATATAGAAGCTGACTTAAATTCTTGGCGTGATAAAGTGAGTTTTAAATATTAAGTGCAAAGCATGAAAATTTCAAAAATACAGTAGCACATGAAATACTACAATTGTATCTACTAAGATGGAATGGAATGGAATTCTTTATTGGCCAAGTGTTTGGACACACAAGGAATTTGTCTTTGGTGCATATGCTTTCAGTGTACATAAAGAAAAATAAAATACATTCATAAAGAATCATAAGATACAACACTTAGTGATAGTCCTAGGTTACTAATAAGCAATCAAATAAATAAAACAATTTAAATTGTAAATATACAAGCAACATGGTTATAGTCATAAGTTGAAAGAGATAGGGACTAGGAAGGATGAGAAGAATAATAGTAATACAGTCTTAGTAAATAATTTGACAGTATTGTGAGAATTAGTTGTTTAGGTGATTAGAGTGATGGCATTCGGGAAAAAATTGTCCTTGTGTCTACTTGTTCTGGTGTGCAGTGCCCTATAGCATTGTTTTGCGGGTAGAAGTTGAAACAATTTATGTCCAGGATGTGGGGAGTCTGTAGATATTTTCTCAACCCTCTTTTTGACTTGTGCAGCATACAGGTCCTCAGTGGAAGGCAGGTTGGTAGCAATTGTTTTTTTCTGCAGTTCTAATTATCTGTTGAAGTCTGTGTCTGTCTTGTTTGGTTGCAGAGCCAAACCAGACAGTTATAGAGGTGCGGATGACAGACTCAATAATTTCTCTGTAGAACTGAATCAGCAGCTCTTTGGGCAGTTTGAACTTTCTGAGTTGACGCAGAAAGAACATTCTTTGTTGTGCTTTTTTGATGACGTTTTTAATGTTAGGTGTCCATTTTAACTCTTGAGATATGATAGAATCTAGAAATTTGAAGGTCTCTACTGTTGATACTGTGTTGTCTAATATTGTAAGAGGTGGTAGTATAGGAGGGTTTCTCCTAAAATCTACCACCATTTCTACGGTTTTGAGTGCATTTAATTCAAGATTGTTCTGGTTGCACCACAAGGCTAGTTGTTCAACCTCCCATCTGTATACAGATTCATCATTGTCTTGAATGAGACCAATCACTATTGTATCATCTGCTTAGGCAACTTGCCTAAAAAAACTTAGGCAACTTGCAATCAACTAATAAATGTGTTACATAGTGCAGTGAAAACGTTTAATTAAAAATCACATACATTCCATTTTGCACATTCCAACATCAGTATCCAGCATGTTTTAGCAACTAGGGCCTACAGATCCTAACAGGTTCCAGTGGGCTTAACATCAACCTTGTTTTACCTTTCCTCAGGATAGGTGCCATTAAGTTGTTATATATGACAGATAATTAAAGACACAGACTTATTTATGGAATTAATCCCATTTAATGACACTTCCTAGTAAATGTTTACAGGAATATACATTTAGTCCTCTATAATTTTTATATTAATATATTTTTATTAATATTGTAACTGTTCCTATGAATGGAAATCAGCTAGCTAAAATGGCCTATCAATAATGAGAAGCAACACAGAATTATTTCTTTTTCTCCCTGCTCTACAGAGCTGATAATATATAATGTTATGTATCATGTAAAGAAATTATATATGAATAAAGAAAGTATCTATAATAAATGGGGTTATCGAAAAAAGCTAAATGGTGAGAGATTCAAAACTGAGGAAAGGAAATCCTTCACACAGATAATAGTTAAGATTATGTGATGTAGCTGCATAAGATATAATGATATCTATCAATTTAGATTAATTTTGAAGTTGATTCTATAAATTTATAGAAGATATGGTTCATATTTTTAATACCAACATAAATATAATTAGGTTCTTTTTGTATCCTTGTATAATTTCTTTTTATTTTTCTTCGATCCATTATGCCACAATTGAACTTAATTTTTAAAGAATATTTTACTAGTCCTTTAATCTTTTGTTTTTCCTTTTTATACACACACTTTTACTAATGAAGTAAATATGTACATACAGATTTTAAAAAGCTTTTCAGACAATAGAGTTCTTTAGAAAAGACTATAATAATGTTATCACGAAATATATTTATGGTATTGTTTCAAATTGATGTTAATTAAATAATGTATTTTTAATATTAGGAAAGGCGTTTGAAGTTGAAAATTTCAAGACAAGAAAGTGAAAACAGACAATTGCTAGATGAGTTCCTCAAAAATGTCAAGACTGTGGAAAGCTCAGTAAGTTTTAGAATTCACATATTTAAAACATTTTTCCATTCAACTCATGCCATATTAAATTATGTATTTTCATAATAATTTATATGCTATATATGCTATCTGTAGAAATCCAATAAAGAATCTGATCTACAAAAACTGAAGGATAAGCTTGCACATGATCTTCAGCAGTTCACTAATTTGCAAGATGAAATCCAATATCTTAAAAATGAAAATGCCGGATTTATGTACAAATTCAGAGACAGGTAAGTGGCACCGTGTTAACACCTAATAAGTTTACATTCTGAATAACTCCAATTCAACAGTATTTTATTTTTAGTCTTTTTATTCTCACTGAAGACATTTGAGCTGTATATAAATTAATTTGGAGAGATTAGATGATTTCTGTTGAACTTTATATTTAATTGAATATATATTTCATTATATATTTAATTTATATGCAGAAAATTACCAGTGAGATAAAGGAAAATACAATGAATGTACAAACATATGTGTAAAAAAGGCAGTTGAAGAAGGATAGTATGGATAATATTTATATCTTAATAGAAGAAACATAGAACAAGGTAACAGAAATGGAGTTGTTAGATTTTAGAGAAATACGTTAGACATAACAAGTCGGATGTGATCATCTAATATTAAAATTGGTGCCATTTTGCATATCAAAATGTCAAACTAGAAATCATAAAAAAGCAACTAATTTGCTAAACCATTATCTAAGAAAAATGTTCCCAAGTTTTGCTTCTATATCAGAGGAGTTAGTGTAATATTTGAAAAAGAGACAGTGTAATATCACTTTTTTAATGATCAGGAAATAATTCAGGAAAATACAGAATGTCTATTCTGAATAAATTAGTGGAAACCATTATTAAAGATAAAATTATCAAAACAGAGTTATGCATGACTATGTTTAGTGAAGTTAGACAATAACCACTGTATATGTTTTGCTGAGGCATGGCTTGTTTTAACCATACTTTGTTAAAAATGCTGCAGTGGGGGATTAATGCATAATGTTAAGGCATAAACCATGGTTCAATACTATTCTGCGAGAACAACTCTGGGGGAAATTAGCCACTACAAAAATAGACCACCTTGTATTACACCTCAGCACAACTATTCAAATAAGGTAATATCTTGGTGATTCAACTACACCTATTTTCACTAGCAAAAATGTAAATCAAGGCTATTTTCTTACTCCTCTTTCAACTTTTACATTAACAATATTGTTGTGGTGTTTGCTAAACCAGAATTCTATCTTCCTTCCCTTTCCCACTGCCTCATTTTTGTCCTCCTTTATGCTGATGTTGCAGCCTAAGGTTATGTCTTTAACTATGTAAGCTTCAAAGATGCCTTAAGCTCTATCACTTTACTGCTCTAGTGAAAACCATCAAATAAATTATTGTAGAACAAAAGTACTACTATTCTATAGGAAACACTTAAATGCCCCAATTAGATGAATTATCAATGGTAAAAATATCAAACATCTAAAAATCTAGATGTCTGTTTTCAATATTCTACCTGATGGTCTACTCAAACAAGGGATCTTCTAATGAAAGCCCTGAAAGTAAATGTGCAGATCAGTTTAGTAACAATTATTTTCCAGCAGCTAAACTAATTAAAACTAAAGGTCTAGGTTTGATGCTATATGGTGCTCAGTTAAATATTTATGAGTCTCCTAGATAGCTTTGAAGCAATTTAATCCAAATTCTTGAAAATTTTACTATGAGTTTCTTATTGAACTTTCAGTGCTCTAATATGACTAGAATTAGGCTGGATTTCCCTTAGGGCTCAATTAAGATTTTGTCATCTTAGATTCTAGCTGAAGCAAGTCTGTTAGGAAACTTCCTTAGTCCATCTCACCTTGCTGGATAGGGCCTCTTCCAACCTAAGAAGACATATTTAGTGACAATTTAATCTGGTTAAGTCTAATGTCTTTGTCACTGTGCCATATAACATCTCTCAGCTATATCTGTGCTCTTCTACTCCATTCTGATATAAAAGGCAAACTGTTTGTGATTCCCAGTAATTTCATGTTCAAATTGTTTTCTTGACAACAACACTGAAATGCCTTCTGCAGATGTTTTTCCAGATTTCTAGTTTAACCTATAGTTCTTCCATTCAATTAATACTCATGTCCAACCTGATTAGCATTTGAAGATGAATGTTCTAATTTCTCGACAACAAATAATGGTTACACTAATAATGATAAATACTGTTTTATTCTCTTTTTTGTTTACTCTATAAATATGTTTAAAAATAATTTTATATTATGTCAGTGAACTCCCAATAATAAAAGATTAAGCAAACTATGGCATTTCTTTATAAAAGCATAACAAAATATGCAGCCATTCTAAACTACCGTTTAGAAAGTTCGGAGTATAAGACGCATCTGAGTATAAGATGCACCTTAGTTTTTGGGAAGAAAATAAGAAAAAAGCTGATTGGCAGTGGATCGGAATACCCCCAATCAGCTGTTCCCAGAGGTGAATTTTAGCCACAGGTTCCTTGGTTGTGAGCTCTCCGCCTTGCTTTTTTTTTTTTTTTTTTTGCTTTTTTTCCCTGCCTCTGAAACTTCTGAAACTCTGTTTCAGAAAAAACTTATTTTCCTGCCTCTGAAAATCTCCAAAACAGAGCTTCAGAAAAAAAGCCTTTGAAGCTCTGTTTGAGGGCTTTTTTCTGAAACTCTGTTTGGGGGCTTCTTTTCTGAAGCTCTGTTTGGGGGCTTCTTTTCTGAAGCTTCGTTTCTGATGCTTTTTTCAGCCTCTGAAACTTCTGGTTGAGAAGCTGGGTGGGGCTACATTTGAAGTATAAGACGCACCCAGATTTTCACCCTCTTTTGGGGGGGAAAAAGGTGCATCTTATACTCCGAAAGATACGGTACTGAAAAAGTGCTAATATTGTAAGCAGTTTTAACATTTGTTTTAAACAGTGCAAAAAGGAAAATGGGCTACCAATCAGAAATTCAGGTTTTGCAGAAAAATATTCGTAGGCTGGAAGAACATTTAAAAAAAGTAAATAAAGACCTTTATGCTGCTGAATTGGCTTATGACGACGCCAAAACAAAACTGGATGAACTGAACGAAGGCATTGGTAAAGAAAAATCACGTTTCAAGGTTGTTTAATACTACTGAATTTGCATTGTATTTAATTATAAGATGTTAAATTATTGCATTGAACAGAATAGAATATTTTTAAAAAAATTTGATTTATATGCCGCCCTTCTCCGGAGACTCAGGGCAGCTTACAATGCGTTAAGCAGTAGCCTTCATACTTTTGTATATTTATACAAAGTCAGCTTATTGACCCCACAAACTGGGTCCTCACTTTACCTACCTTAGAAAGGATGGAAGGCTGAGTCAACCTTGAGCCTGGTGAGATTCGAACTTACAGTAATTGCAGACAGCTGGTGTTAATCACAATGCTTTTAGTTTGCTGAGCCATCAGGCCCTTAATATTACTGCATTAATCCAATTTTGTATTTAAAGAAATTGTTTTTTCTGGAAAAAAACAAGATTTCAGTAATATTTATTTCATTTCTGTGAAAAACTTCGTATCTGATTTTTTTTTCCTAGTTACAGAAGCTTGCCAGGTCACTTTTTCTAGTATGTTTTTGACCATATTTTGCATTATTCTTTTCTATTGCACTGTTTGCAAACCTAAACCTAGGAACAAGCATCACTATTCAAGAGAGATATTTGCAGCTAAATACCCTGTTTTTCCCAAAATAAGACATGCCCTGATAATAAGCCCAATCGGGCTTTTGAGTGCATGGCAATAAGGCCAAGCGCTTATTTCAGGGTTCAAAAAAAATATAAGACAAGGTCTTATTTTCAGGGAGATTTTTACATACATTGCTAATGAACAAGTATATTGTATTCTTTATCCAACTCTGACAGGATGTCAAAATCTGCATCTAGCATAAGTAATCATTATATGTTACATTTCCTATGACTTATAGTTGAATTTTACTAAGGTTTATGATGATTTCAAATTTCTGTAATTGAAAATATACTTCTTATAGAATTAAAAAGTAAATCCTTCTATTAATCAGGAAAGAGAAAGACATGATATATATGAAAGAAACTAGAGTAATTTTTAATTGGGGTATGATCCATTTGCTATCCCACAATCAATAAGAAATATCAGTAACTAAATAAAGAGCCAGTTTGGTGTAGTGGTTAAGGTGCTGGCCTAGAATCCAGGAGACAGCTCTAATCCTGTTTTAAGCATGAAAATCAGCTGTGTGACTTTGGGACAGTCACTTTTTCTCAATCCTACCCACCTCACAAAGTTGTTATTGTGAGAAAAACAGGAGGAGGAAGGAATATTAGGTATGTTGAGTTTTGGATAAAATAATAAAGACAATATAAAATCTAACAAATAAATAAGAGGAATGCTTTTTACTATAGTGCTTTCTTCTCTTTGCAACACTATACTAGTTCTGACACTGTTCCATATAATTCGGCAATTTCCTTATTCCCCAGGAGAAATTTTAAAATGTTTGGGTAACTACAAAAGAAAGAAGCAATATTTGATTGCCTGCTTCTTAAGGCTAAGACAGAATGACTGGCCCAGAGTCACCCATTTAACATTTGTGGCTAAGGTGGGACTAGAACTCACAGTCTCCTGGTTTCCAGGCCAGCACCTTAACCACTACACCAAACTGACTGTCTCTGGGAAATTACTCTAATTATTTTCATGGAAGAGTTCCATCAGTGGAAGATAACCTATAGAAGTTCTAGTACTTGCATTATTGAGACACTGTGTAATATCACTTACCCTTCCATCAGTAAATGCTGGTTTCTTTTTAAGTTGCATTTTCTTCCTGGGGCTACTTATAGGGGGGCGTGGGGGACAGAAGGAACAGAAAATGCTTCAATAAAGTAATCCTGTAATATGGCATTAATAATTAAAACTACAGTATGTAGAAATAGTGACCCAAAAGTTAAGAATGCTTCAGCCAGCCTTTAAAGAGCATATGTTAATGGAATACTTAAATTGGCTAGTTACAAAAGCAATCCAACTGACCCCTTTTCATCTGATTTGCAGATTATTTATTGCGGTAGTTTCTGTACTTTTTTGTCTACTATTGATTGCAATTGTTCTTTTTATGTTATAGAATTTGGAAGAGAATATTAAAAAACAAATTAGAGATGAAATAAGTGCTTGGAAGCTGACTCAGGTAAGGAAAATAACTTTTTAAAATATTCAGATTTTTTTAAAAAATATATTCACACAACCTCTTCTGTATAATTTATGGCATGATGTATGGGAAGATTGCTTGGAATGCTAAGCTATATATAGACAGCATTAAGATCATTTTACTATACTAAGGGTACTTTAAAGAAGAATTTACACAAAGCTATTTTCTTGGGTGTCTATTTATCTTGCCTTGCAGGGGAGGAACCATCAGCCCTAGATGACCATATGATCAAATTGTATCTTTCTTTTTTAACCCATTAATACATCTCTTTTTTCACTCTATCCCCTATGCAATCAATTTGAAACAGATTATCTAGAACATATTTTTACACCAGGGCTCAATCTAATAATATGTGAAAAAATGATACATGCTATATACAGAGAGGAGGGTTTTTTTCTTTTTTAATTTAAAGACATATCTGTCTCAGATATGTACTTTTGATAAAATCAGACTGTCTATTTCTGGATGTCTCCCTTTAGTTCAAGTACTTCAGTAAATGTTTTATAAACGTTTTATTTTATAAACAGAAAAGACTTAAAGCACTACAAGCAGAGTTAGAAAGAAAGAAAAAGGAGCATGAGAAATTAGTGGAAAAGATGAAGAGTAAATTAAAAAAATATGAGCTGCTTTCAGCTGAACAAGCAGAAATACTAGAAAAAAATAAAGATGTGCACAAAGAACTTATGGAGGTAGGTTAAATAACAACATGTTGAAATGTTGCTTCATTATACTTCCCTTGTTAAGTGCTTTTGCATTTCCTTCACAGAATATAATGGAACACAAATTGGCATTTGGAATAAATCAACATGTCAATATGAATTAAATGTAAAATAACTTCTCTGTGGCTATAATGGCTTCAGTGATATGCAAAAAAAGAGATTGAAATAATTATATTTTCAAAATGGAACATTAAGGGCAGTGAGTAATACTATCAGCTCTTCCCCAAGGAACAAAACTCAGTAGAATCAATGTGATAAAGACCATAAGGCTTATTGGGAATGTAGGAGCAATTGTACATGTTTGTTTTTACTTGTACATATGTTTTAGTGAAAACTAGTATTATGTAGGCATCCTCATTCTAAGAGTAAAACGTTTTATGTTTGATTCCTTAATCGTTAATTAAAAATGTCCATCACTAAGATCACTGCTGCCCTCTGTATTCCATGGGTTCTGGGTTTTATTGGGGCCTAGGAATCTTAGCTGCTAAATTATTAGTTCAGCTTACTCCAGAGGAAACACTACAAATTCAGTTTTGCAGCCACTATCTCCAAGTGGTAGAGTGAATGACATTCTACTGGTGGGAACTTTTCACTAATCCATCTGCTCAGCTGTAGTGATTTTCCCCATCTTTCCTGTAGCCATTATAACTTGCCAGGTTCCTCTGTCTTCCTCAGGCATTCTGTGGGATGGCTTCGTCATTTTCTTTACACTTGGCAGGTTTTGCCCTCCCCCCACCATACATTGAAATGATAAGAAAAGATGAAAGTGGATTGCCAGTTAATTCACTGCTTGTTTCTGTGTCTTTCCTTTTACTATCTGGAGGGAGCAACTTACTGACTCCATGGATGAATAAAGTACAGTAGTGGAAACATTGGATAGAACTGTTGCTAAGGATTTGAGAGACCTGGCCAATGACTGTATGGAAGTGATAAAGTTTAATAACAAATGTATCAGACTTCATTTTGATTGGAGTCTATTACTCTTTTTTAGTCTGCATTTGTATTTTTCAGAAAATAGCTGAATTAAATCAGAAGATCAAAGAACTTGATGATGATGAGGAAACTGTGAACAATGAATTAGAAAATAAAAAGAAATGTGCTCAGAACCTATTAGATGATAAAAAGGTGAATGTGTTAATATTAGCATCAATAAGTTTTGTTTATTTTCAAATGCTAAACAGATGCTTGTCTTCCCTTATCTTGAATATATCTAAACCTTTCTGTATGTGGTACAGTATTCCTTTCCCTTTCTTAAGTGAACCTAATCATATCCTTAATCTTGAAATGGAGTAAAATACAAATTCATGTTGGGGTCACTTTCTTTATTATGAGTATGGACTCTTAATATTTGGGGGACTTTGAAGAAAGGAAGGTAAAGATTACTATGAGGAAGAAAAAGTATTCAACTCTGATAGAAATAGCCTGCTGATTATACCTTTGCACAGCAGATGGCATCTTTTTGTAAATTATGGTAGATGTTTACTGCTGTAGTTGTCTATATTAGCAAATGAGATATTTTGTCTATTATTATGAATACTGCGTTTATGTAAATGTATTTATAATTGCAGGCCTTTGTATAAAATGTCTTATGTGTATTATTGTTGTGTTGCATTGGATTTTATTGTGCATATTTGTAAGTGATTGAGAAATTAATGTGGCTAACCAGGAGAGTTCACATCTATAATTTAATCAAAACAGTGCTTTTAATCTTACTCTAGAGTCCCTAATTCTTTTTTGAATAATAATAAGAACAACAGCAGCATTGACAAAAGTCCCTTGTACCCATGGGTAATTGGGCAAAATGGAGAATTACTGTATCACCTAATCCTAAAGTACTGTATAATGGAAAAAATGCAATCACAAATAAATCTAAAAATAGTCAGAGAAATTGTATATCTGAACACCCTTCACCCTATCACTCTTACCTGATAAGTGAAATTAGGCAAAATAAAAAAATCGAACAAGTACTAAGCAATATAAATTAAACCAGGATATAGGAGAAAAGGAAATCTAACTAAACATAATTTATGTCAGTACTGTTCACAATACATATCCATATATTTTTATCCTTGCAAACTATCCTTGCTTCTACCATGTCTATGGATCAGTTTGAACAAACCAATCAGCTACTATGTTTCATATAGTGCCAAAAAGATACAGTATTTTGCATTTCCTTTATAGGAAATTGCACAAATAGAGCATCAAAAACAAAGAAAGCTCTCTTGTGTTACCATGTTACTGGGAAAATACTTCCAGAACAACAATGAGAAAAATCAGATCTTAAAATAATAGTTGTTTGTTTGGTTGGTTGGTTACTTACTTACTAAATTTGTATGTCACCCAATCCACGATCAAGCAACGGGTGGTGAATAAAAGCACCTGTCATAAAAGCAAAAATGTAAAACATTAAAAAAAACATTAAATATTAAAATTAACAGAAATTAGGTACAATGTGGATGTGGATGGGATCTTCTTCTTAATCCATTAACTATCTTCAGCATGGAATGCCCTCATCAGGGTCCCAGGCCAATCAACAGAACCAGGTTTTGAGGCTCTTTATGAAAGTCAAGAGGGTGGGGACAGATCTCAGATCTCAATGGGCATGATGTTCCAGAAGGCAGAAGCCATGCAGAAAAAGCCCTTCTCTTGGACTGGGCCAGTTGGAAGTCCTTGACTGGCAATGTCTGTAGCATGCCCCTTTTGCTGGAATGAGTTGGGCAAGCCAGTCCTATTGGGGTGAGATAATTCCTCGGGTAGCCTGGGGCCCATGCCAAAAAGCACTTTAAAAGTGTAACCAGCACCTTGAATGGGACCTGGAAGTAAGCTGGTAATCAGTGCAGCTTGTACAACAGTGGTGTTACATATCCACATGACTGCACTCTGTGCTAGCTGTAGCTTCCAAATATTCTTCAAGGGTAGCCTATGTAGACACATTGCAGTAATCCAAACACAAGATGACCTAGGCATGAGTGACTGAGTGCAAGAACTAGTGATCCAGGAAAGGACACAACTGGTGTACAACACAAACCTGGGCATAGGCTCTCCTAGTAATATCATTATCAATAATAATATTATTAATTTTGGGCAAAAAAAGAAATCCATCATTAGGAAACATCATAGCCCTCCTAATTCTATATCAAGTAAATATTTTAAAATAATTGCATTGAATGTTGACTCATATTTAGATGTAGAATCTGGGATGCATTTTCTGGTAAAAGTCATGTAATTTATTGTTTTGCAAGACTTCAGTTTCTGTATTTAATTCTGCGTTTGATTTTTTTTTCAGTTTCTTTTATATTTCATATTACTAAATTAATTGCTATTTATTATATTTTTATCTGCCTTTATTACTTAGTATTTATTACTTAATATTACTTATTATTAGTGACTTTAGGCAGTGAAGTTACCTAATATTTCTCCCTCTTCCTATTTTCTCCACAACAACCACCCTGTAAGTTGAATTGAGAGAGAGTGACTGGCCCAAAGTCACTCAGCCAGTGGCTATTGCTATGTATTTGCAATAATTTTATTTAAAATGTTTTATCATTTGCTCTGATCTCTATACCCTACTTGGCTCTTTTGGGTGGCATGGCAGAGTGTGATTTGGGTAGGAATTAATACTCTTCAGGGGGAGAAGTGATGAGCCGCGGTGGTGCAATGGTTAGAGTGCAGTGCTGCAGGCTATTTCTGCTGATCACCGGCTGTCAGCAGTTTGGCAGATCGAATCTCACCAGGCTCAAGGTTGACTCACCTTCCATCCTTCCGAGGTTGGTAAAATGAGGACCCAGATTGTTGGGGACAATATGCTGACCTGTAAACCGCTTAGAGCAGAGGTCTTCAAACTTGGCAGCTTTAAGACTTGTGGACTTCGACTCCCAGAATTGAAGTCCACAAGTCTTAAAGCTGCCAAGTTTGAAGACTCTAGCTTAGAGAGAGCTGTAAAGCACTATGAAGCGGTATATAAGTCTAAGTGCTATTGCTATTGCTACCTTCTAACTTGTAAGAGGGAATGGTACGTATTCCCTCCTGAAGAGACCATTTCTCATTTCAATATAGTAGACAACTATGCAGTCTCCAGGTTATGCTTTCTGGGAGGATTCTAAAGAAGATGTTAGGGCTTCAGCTACAAAGAATTCTATAAGAAATGAATTATCTGGATCCACTTCAGCCAATAATCAAACCTGGGCATAGCCTGAAACAGCATGGTAGATAACCATGGTCTGGAACTTGGTGGAGGGAGGTGGGCCGCTCAATTAGACTTCTTGGTGATATTACTATTGACTGTGTTATTCTTCTGAACCACCTTTGAGGGATTTGGAGCTTTAGACATCATGTGAAAGTGGTTCCATTCCTTCCTAAGTGGGCAATTCTAGTCATTGATAATGGGAGATTAGTGAATAAGCCTCCAATATGGAATGTCTATGAAGGTGACGCAGAAAGTACAACCACTGATTCAGTGATTAGACTATTGATGAGGGTAAGGAGCAGTGGTGGGATTCAGTCAGTTCTCACCACTTCGGGAGAACCGGTTGTTAACTTTCTGAGCAGTTTGGCAAAGTGGTTGGAAGAAATCATTAGGGCAGAGAACCGGTTGTTAAATTATTTGAATCCCACCACTGGTAAGGAGTATAACACCAATGCTTCAGTAACTAAATTGGTTGCCAACCCCAGTTCAAACTATATGATTGACCTCCATGTAGCTTCAGAATCATCTCTTCCAAGTATGGTCATTCTTCCTGACGGTGAAAATCATTTCTTATATACTCATCATGTGAAACAATAATAAAAAGCAAATTAAATTATTTAATTTGGTTTTAATTAAGTTTCTAACTTTTGTATTTATGTATTTTATTTTGTGCCTGTTCACCACCCTGAGTCCTTTGGGAGTAGGGCAGTATATAAATTTAATAAAACAAACAAAAACAAACAAAACAATAAAACAAACAGAGGAAAGACATATTGAGCAATGCACAAAAATGAAATTATCTCATTTGTAAAACATATTTCAAAACAATAACTGATTTAAACAAGGGTACCTTTACTGAAATCATGTTACCTAACTTGCATTACATTTTCAACTGCAGTTATGAAAATAGTTCTGTTTTGGGATAAGTAATTTAATGCATCATTGCATGTAATTGTGCTTTTAAACCTTTTTTTTTTAATTTTCAGGAGAAATATTTAGGCATTTCAAGCCAATTTACTAAAGTCAATGAGGAAATTGCACATTTACAAAAAGAAATTGCAAAATTAAGTGCTTTAAGGAAAGGACAGGAAAGCCAGATAGACAGTGTAGAAAAATCTGTAGTCATGTTGAGGTAAGAATCACATTCCAATAAATAATGCATAGTGTTAAGTTGGGAGCAATGGAATGGGAGCTTTCAAAAATTTCTCACTCTGAAGCCCCTGTCCCAGTCTCTTACATGTGTTCCCCAGGACTCCAGAGGACATTCTGAGAGGAGCACAGTTTGATCACAGCAAAGAAAACTGAAAAGCTGTACTGTTGCAGTTTAAATACATACAAAAATATATGTATGGGAATGTTTTTCCCACCAACACAAAAATAAGAGATAGGGTTCCTGACAAAAAGGACATGGGGAAAAGACAATACTGTACATGACACAAATTATACCTCAGAACAGATATAAATCAGATAACAGTTGCAAAACCTTTAGAAAATTCCAGTGAACATAAAGAAAGACAATAAATAATGTTGTGGCATCTTTAACACAAATCAATTTATTTTGCTATAAAATTTTGTGAAATATGGATAAATGCACAAACACACATGACTTACACACATTACACACACACACACACACACACTACATACATACACCATTTAATAAAATGTATTAAACATAAGGAAAACAACACAATGAAGTATTACTGTGGTTCATATATCCTCTGGGGTTCATAGTGTCCTCTCTGACATTTAATTAATGCATGATTAATTTCACCTATATCTTTATCATCATGTTACATGTGAAACCACAGGATGTCTCAAGATATGAAGTACGTCTATGAAATCATTTCAGCTTGTAAAAGCTTCTTTGTGAAGAGTTGTAAATCACAGACATCTATCACAGACATTTCTTAGAATGATAACATTTGCTTTGTGATATCACAGTCTCAGTTCCATACATTATATACTTATGCATGACCCAAGTACAAAAGGGATGAAGTTTGTGTTGTGACAATCTGACTCATGTTTTGTCATATGCCCTGGGTACTGATGGTAAATAAACTGTTTTCAAGAACTATAATCATGGAATATTGTATAGGACGAAAACTGATCTTTCTTCTATTCCAAAGAAATTAGAACCCTTTTTAAAACATTCCTGTATAACTAAACTATGCTTTTTATAGTCTTTATGCAGGCATATAGGGACACCAACAAACAAACAAATACTGTATGTAGACATAATTGGATGAACAAGATTAGAATCAAATAGATTACATAATTAAAAAAAAAACAAAAGATGGAGGCAATCCAGTCAATCAAGACATTTTCAGATACAGATTGATGAACAGACTATGAATTGCTAGTTTTAAATATATGAAATTAAAGAAAGTAGGTGTGCCAGCACATTTTAACCTGGAGGCCTTATAAACAGAATATAAGATCAATGTAAGATACATGTTTAATATGCTTATATCATACAAATATGAATTGGAGGATCAGGAAAGAGCAATGATACCATGAAATCAAATACAGCCAACAATTATGAGGAAGAACTAATAACTTTTCAGAAAAAGCTGAAGGAAATGTACTGATCTCAATCAGAAATGTAAACAGAAAAAAATAAGAACAATAAAATGAGATATGTTGTTTTAAGATCAGGGAAATCACAGGAAATTTTATAACTAAATTAGGAATATGCAAGAGCAATCATTTGATGGAGATTTTTAAAAAAGATAGGAAGAAGCCTATTGTAAATTTAACAGTGGGTTTAGAGAATGAAACATTTTAGAAGGGCAATATATTCATTAATAAGAGATAGATTAGTTGAACAGAAAAGCACTAAGCACAAAGGAAATGCCCACTGAAAAGGGAAGTTAAAGTATTAACACCTCTCCTTCAACAAATATGGAACAGGCTGCATGGCATACAGATTGGGTAAGATTGCATATACTGTACTTGTACCAAAAAAGAGGGGATGCAAGTAAATGTATGGATCACTGAATCATTACAGTGATTCTCCATGTAAGCAAAATTCTGCTTAAAATCTTGTACAAACTACAGAGCCAGACATGCAGAAAGAGGATGGCAAATGAATTAAGTTTCAGAAAAAATAAAGGATTAAGAATAATCAGCTAATATGATCAACAAGCAGGAACTTAATTATTTTGGATTCTAAGTCTCCTTGGCAAGATGGAGGAAACTAGGTATAACCACAGATATGTATGGATGGGCTCAAGAGCATTAACGAAATGTCCTTAGAAAAGCTAGTTAGTCAATAGGGACAGTTCAAGATGGAAAACATTTCTTTGTGTACTGTAGTCACCAGGATCTGAACCTATTTGCTACTAACTAGAAGTTTTAACTACTGACAAGAATGTGTCCATTTTGTTACACTTCACAATATTGTACCACAGCTAAGCTATATGTATGTTTTGTTAAAGATTAGGGCTTCAATCTCTTAACTTTCACTTAAAATGTTTTAAGTGGTACCAGTTGAGATACATATGTGACTTAGTTTAAATCAGGTTCATGTGGTTTACATTATTATATAAATTTATATTCTACATCTATAAAATATCTTTGGAGGTAGGTGTGGGTGTGGGGGTGTGTACATTTAGATTTAGCTGGATTGGTACTGAAAAGAAATGGCCCAATAAACTGTACATGCACATTGCCCTTACACATTTATAAAGCATCTCACTAGATTGCAATCACTGTTTCCGCATGAGCAGTTTGCCTAATAGTTCTGAGTAATTTTTCATACAAGTAATGATATATTTTCTCTCCCTTAAAGAGAAAAATATACCAAAATAAAGTCCAAGGAAGAAAATACTCAGAGATTAGTTGATTTTCTCTATGCCCGGCTGGATGCTGTTAGAAAAAAAATAAAGACAGGCAACATAATATTTGATGAGCTGCTGTGGAAAAGACAAAATGATTTGAAAATTAAGAAGGTTTGTGCTATTTACATTATTATTATGTTTCATTTTTCTTGATAAAATGAATATGTACTATAGTTAAATTGATTTCCTTTTCTGAGAAAAGTATAGCAAACAATATATGGGCATTCTGGTGAACCATCTTGGAAAAAAAAACATTAACCAAAAGACACTATGTCCTTCCAATGTGGACACTTGTTTCTTATTAATAGTTTCCCTATGAAAGTTCCATGTTCATGTAACACGTTTCTAACTAATGGTATATGGGAATGACCATGGGAAATAAGGCAAAGAAATGCAACCAAAGGATCTGTTGGAGAAAAGGCAGCTGAGCTCATTAAAAATTGAATGTGGGTGTGGCAAGGAGCTCAGAAGAGACCCTCTCTACTTTCTTGGGCTGTAAAGGTGGGGGAGGGAGAATTTGCAAGTTTCTGTTAAAATAGCTTTACAATAACGTAAAACTAGCTCATCTGCTTGTGTTTCTTGTCTGGTCCACCTTATAAGCTGATAGTAACAAAATTGACACACTGGAGGACCATTAGATTTCATATGTGAATCTCCAAGTATAAGATAAATGACACATAGGAGTTCCCATACGATGAGTTCTGTAGCTGTATAATGCTGATACACAGCCATACAAAAGTATCAGTGCAAAGTTGATCATCGATTGAATATATGTGCAATCCCCAACATAGGACTGGAACTGTAAGTATTTTTTGTTTCAGTCAGATTGCTTACTGGAGTTAATGAAGATGCTGTTGGTTGATCTAAGCTTCCCAAGTCATAAACATGCAACCAGAGAGCCTTCCTTGATCTTAAAATATGTATTGCATTTTCCTGTTCCAGAGAGTAAGAAATATAGTCTCCTAAAAAAAGTCCCGGTTGTTTTCCTTTGCAATTTTTTCTCTTGAGACTATGTTTGGCATCTAAAATGGGTCCCTTAAGCTTTTTCAGAAAATGATTGAAAAATTTATCTAAGCCCTTACAGAACCATGGTATGCATTAGATGAATTTTGTCCTGTCACTTTTTCTGTTACTAATATACTTCACAAGCAAGGTGGTATTATGGTAGTGAGAATGTGTTGTGGGATACTGAGGCAAATCTGTATCTTATATACTTGCATTATGCCATTGAGTGGAGTGTGCATTGCATTATGACTTTTGTCATTTGTCCCTCTTGACTGCCCTTGCCCATGCTTGCAAAGTTGTTGGGACAAGAATAAAAATGAAAGATGATCCTAGATCTTTACAGAGATAAAATGAGAGATAATAATAAACACATTAAAGGTAAAAAATATTCTCCAAAACTTTTTGGAAGATTATAGTGGAACAGAATAGTTATCTTCCATTCTGTTAACAGCAGCCTCCATTGTATTTTAGATATTTCCACAAATAAAATGTGACTTTTATTTTCTCATACCATAGATTACTCCTTTGTATTTTAGTATACTAAAACTACTATACTTCAGTAGCATAGAGTACATTTGGTCAGTGGTGATTGTCTCATTGGTTGCACCCTTTCTTGTGCAAGGACTCTCTATTTGATGGCCTAGAACATTGAAGTACACTTTACAAAGGCCTGTTCTTGAAAATGTAGAAGCCACAGTTAGTGTAAAATGTGTCAGTAGGGCTGCTTATTGGAATATCTTTTACAAGCTTCACAATACCTAAGGCAAGGGTCCCCAAACTCTTTAGCTCATACACCTCTTCATGAAGTTTCGGATTGTTCATTGACCCCTAAACATTTATTACATGGAAATAATTTGATAAATACTATTTTAAGTAATAGTACTATGGATGATAATAATAATAGTTGTAAAATAGTCAAAATGCCCAGATTAAAATATTGTGGGATTTCCAAAGATAAAGTTTTGTCAGATAACATACCAGATTTAACTGTGGTGGAAAAGAAAAGCATGGATAATTGATATGGCAACCGTTGGAGATAGAATAGAACCAGTGGTGGGATTCAGCAAGTTCGCACCACTTTGGGAGAATCGGTTGTTAATTTTCTGAGCAGTTTAGCAAACTGGTTGTTGGAAGAAATTATTAGGCCAGAGAACCGGTTGTTAAATTACTTGAATCCCACTACTGAATAGAACACAGAGAATGGAGAAGATCACAGAATATCAAGACTTGAAAATCAAAGCTGAAATATTACGGAATGAACTGGCTATGGCACCACTTTCCTATAATGCATCATTTCACATTATTTACATAATAATTTTCTAAAAAGTCAATCAAAAATAATAATGGAACATTTGCTGACTTTGTTTTAATCTTGTAAAATGGCCAGAGTCAGTTTTATAAAATAGGTGCTATACAAATTAAATAAATAATAAATAAATAAAATTATTAAAAACAGAACTAGCACAAAATTATGGCCAAAAACAAACATGCCTTAAAAATAGGTAGGGACTTTCCTTATAAATAATGATACAAGATACATATTGACATGCCTTAGGCGTCTGTTTCTACTGGTGTCATGGACTTAGAATATCTATATGTGCACATTAATGATGAGTTTGTAAAAGAACATTAATGACAATACACAGTTTTGTTAATCAAGGTGAGGTATTTGGATGGTATAAGGCAGGGGTGTCAAACGCGATTTCATTGAGGACTGCAACAGGGTTGTGTTTGATCTTCAGGGGATGAGTGGACGTGGCCAGGGTGCCATTGCCAGCACAATGTCACACATGTTGGGGGTGCCTGTGGTGGCTCGAGCGCTCTGCCAGCGAAAATGGGCTCCTGAGCTTGGTTTTCAGTTGCCACAGTCTCCTGAAACCCTCTGCCAGCGAAAACTGAGCTTGAAGCACCGCAGGCTGGTCCTTTGCTGTTTCCAGGGTGGCCCCGCAGGCCAGATCTAAGTACCCCATGGGTTGGATCCGGCCCCCGGGCCTTGAGTTTGACAACCCTGGTATAAGGGAACATAAATTAACTTACTTGATTCTAATCTTTTCCCTATTCTTAATAGAACAGGTGAAGGCCAGATATTAGAATAAGGAAGAATGGTAGAACTTTTTGTTACTAACACCTAATAATCTTTAATGAAATTTCTCTCTATTTTTTTAGCCTTTATTTCTTCACCTAAGATGTTGCTATCAGGGTGGGAAAGAGCAATGGAATGAAGTTCTTCCCAATTCCTAGTTAGCAGACTATGCTAAATCAGGAAAAATTGAAAATAACTATTTGATACCAGCTACTCTGTCTAATCATAGAAAACTATTTCAATATATAAGGAATAGTTACAGATAGTCATTGTTATTGACATTCTGTTTTTCTTAGCAGTACAGCTTAGGCAGCACTAGAGTTTACAATTTGTTTCTTTTTTAGCTTTATTTTTTGCAAGAACAGTTTCTAAAGTCAAAAAGAATGTGGAATAATAAAAAATACTGTCCGTCTTAAAGTTGAATTATCCATTATGCATGACATGTCACAGAAATGTTATTATCTCCCTCTTTTTTTGTAAAGCTCAAAACATATCTTGTGCTTCACATTTTTTCACCTAATCCCTATCATTTGCCAATCATATTATGTAACAAGGCAAAATAAATGCACAATCTATTAATATTATAAGGCTAAAAAAATCTTAGAAATAACGAATGGGATGGGAGGGTGGATTTAAAATAGGATACCAGTTTTGCTAGTCTTGTCATACAGGGATATCCTTAGCTTCATTGAAGTATTTTGGCTTTTAAAGATTCAAGCATGACATCCAAGGTATAAATTTTTCATGTGTACATTTTTATTAGTATTTCATATTGGTGTATGAAGTATTGCAGTATTCCTCCCTAGGTAATAAAAAATATCACTGAGATGTCATATAGTATATTGAGTTGAGAATTAGTTCATACTGATTTGTGAGTTGTCAACATTTTACCCATGGATAATTATCCAAATGTTCATCTCTAATCTATCTTGTAATGTCCTTGATATCGACTATGTTCTCCCAATATGTGCACAACACATCAAACTGTAGCAAAATCAGAGCAGAAGGAACAATGTTGTCATGGGGTGATTTAACCCACTGTGAATAAGCTGAATACTGTTCTTAACATATGCTTCTCTTGAAAGGTGCCACTATTTTCAATAATGCAGCATACTTGGGGTTCCCAAGTAGTTTCTAAAACAAATTTGCTAAGTTTATAAGGTTTTGTGTACCTTCAGACCATTGAACTAGCAATTCAGAACTGCCCATATTGACCCAGTTTGGATAATCCAATTTATTTTATTTTAACATGCAGGGCTTATCTTGCTTTATTTCTTCCTTTGTATGTAGAAGAAGCCAAGAAGCTGCAATGAATGGCAGCTTCTTTAAAATGCAAACTGTGAAATGTGGTTAATTACTTAGAAACTAACCACTTTAATAAGTTAAGCTTGTCTTGCTTAGAAGCCATTGATCTTGAATATTAGTTCATACTAATAGGAAACCACCTTATCATGGCTTTTGTTTCATCTCCTGTGTGAAAGAGACAAACTGTAGTGAAGGGGTTGCACACAGATCACATACATCCTCTTTAATTAAGTTGGCTTTGATCAGAACTTTCACACCAATATTTGAAAATATGTGGTGTTTTGTAACATTAAATTGTGCACCTAGGTATGTTTATTCTAGAATTTGTTTTCAAATGTGAATATATAAATGTGTAATCAACTCATATACTTTTTAAAAACTGATTAGATATACTGATTTCAAATATAAACTTGCATAACTAAAGAATAAAAATTACTTAGCCTTTTTAATGTAAAATTTTCCATTATATTGTATTGAAAATGTTTTATTTCTCTTGATTTCAAACAGGGATAGACAGTATTGAATTTGATTTTTAAAAAAAATATTGCTGTAAGGCAAACCATAGTAACAAAATGATCTAAATTTAAATATACATACATACATTTAAATATATGAATGTATGTATTTATGTATGTATCTGTTAAGTGAACCTTTTACTAAAAATTCACAATAAATTCTGTTTTATTCCAAATGCTACCTGAACACATCACAAAAATTC